CAGGTCACGTTTGCTTTAGATTAGGGGTCACGAATGCGCAGTCTTTACTTGGGCACTAGGCCAGCAACGGTCTGTCGTGGGAGTGGAAGGACCAGACCGTCCACCGACCAAGGGGGCAGCCACCTTCTCTGCTCCAGCCGTCTTTTTTTATTTTGGAGAAACGAAGACCGCGGGGGCTAGATCCTCCATTTCTCAAGAGAAACCAGAAATCTCGATTTGTACATGAACTACCAAATTCTTAAATCTTGGCAACAAAATCAGATGCTTAAGACACTGCATGCAGGTCAAACAAAATCCAGCTGCTGATCTCTAAAGTGCCCCCTGTTTTAAAACTCCATGACCCACATGCATCCCTTCCAGAAAAAGCAGAGGTGTGTGTGAGGCACAGAGTTGAATCGGCCTGCATACGACGGGAGCGGGAGCCTGGATTCACCAGGTGCTCAGAGAACAGGTCATCTCCAGTCCTTGACTTCTTTGTCTACTGTCTCCCTGTTCCACCAGCGTGCCATGAGGATTAAATCACGCTTCCTTTTGCAAAGGGACTCATGAAGGGTAGGATGCCATGCCCTGGTTATTCTCATTATCTGCAAATTCTTCTCTTCACACTGGGGACCCTGGCGCCTAAACCTGGAACTAGAAGCAATCTCTGAGGCTGCTCTCCCAAACCAAGATGCCGGAGACAGTATGGAAACCAGATGCCGAGCACACACGGCCTTACCTTTTTTATCCCCAAAGTGCTTTTGTAACTTTTCAAAGCCGCTCCACATTCATGAGACCTGATATCACTAAACGCACAGATGCCCTGCACAGCTGATACAACAGGTATAATTACACACCGGATGGGGAAACTGAGGCTCAGAGATCAGAATGACTGGGCTACAGTCCCAGAGAAAGTAAGTGGCACGAGATGGAGTCCCTGTGGCCTAGACCGCTGCCCACTGGTAATCTTTTCTGGGTGGCCGGCGGCTTGCAAAAGAGATACCTTTCTAAATATAGGCTTAATGCAGAGGGCCCTGCCCTCAGCAAGCTCTGAGGCAGCCAGAGCATCTTGGTAAATGTGATTTTTGGTAGCAGTAGTAATAATGGTAAAAGCAGCAGCTACCCCAAGCCACCATCACCTCCTGTCTGCAGAACTTCAGCCGCCGCCCATGGAGCTCCTGTTTCCAGTTTTACCAACCTAACCAGTTAACCAGCTGTCATAGCGTCGATTCTGACTCATGGAGAACCCATGTGCATCAGAGGAGAACTGTGCTCCACAGGGTTTTCAATAGCTGCTATTCTGGAAGTAGACCAGCAGGCCTTTCTTCCCAGGTGCCTCTGGATGGACTCAAACCACCAGCCTTTAAGTTAGTAGTCGAGCATGTTAACTGTTTGCACCACTCAGGGATTCCTTTACCAACCTACTAAACCTTCAAATCCAAGTCATCTTTCCAAAAGGCAAATCAGATTCTGTCTTTCTCGTTCTCTCTCACACACACACACCCACCCTGGCAGCCTTCCCTGGCCTTCTGCTCCTTCCCTTTCCACACAGGCATTTTACAGTAATACTCACCTCTTTCTCTCCCTCTTCAGGGTCTCTGCACTATCTGTTCTCCCTCAGCCAGAGCGTCAATGCCTCCAGGAAGCCCTCCAGGAAGCCCCCACTCTAGGTCATTCCTTTGGGATGATCATCCTGTGATCAAAGGTCCTTTCCTTCAGAGCCCTTATTCCAGCTTGTGATTATCTCATTGAGCTGCATCTTCTACACTCCAGTCTAAGCTGCTCAAGTACAAGCATCTCATCTCTTTACATTCAACATCATAACTCCAGCACCAGGGATGGTATGCAGTCAATATTTGTAGAATGGATGCATAAATAAATCTGTAAATTAGGCTACACCCACTAGCCCCTGTACTCCTCCCCAAGCCCCATGTGGTAGCTGCTATAAATTGTCCCTTGTTAAAGATGGGGAGGCTGAGAGGGAGAAGGTCAATGACTTGCCCAAGTTCACGCAGCTAGTAAGAGACAGAGGCAGGATTTGCCCACGGGTTGGCCCGATTTCCAAATTTTCCAACATACAGCATGTAAGAAAATAATATGGTAAACCTCCATATACCCATCACTCAAATTCAACACTTATCAAGAAGTTGCCACGGTTCCTTTAGCTACCTATAGCTATTGAGTTGATTCCGACTCATAGCGACCCTATAGGACAGAGTAGAACAGCCCCATTGGGTTTCCAAGGAACAGCTGGTGGATTTGAACTGCCAACCTTTTGGTTAGCAGCTGAGCTCTTAACCACTGCGCCACCAGGGCTCCTAGCATCCCCTTTTTTTCTTTTCTTTTCTTTTTTCTGTTGCTAAAGTGTTTTGAAACGTACTCCAAACCCCCTATGGTTATACCCGTATCTACTTTCAAACCCAAGCCTGCCCAACTGCAGGACATGCTCACAGCCCCCTGCACCTCCAAGAGCTAGCTCCCCTCCCCAACTCTGAGAAACAGAGAGACCTGCCCTCTCCAAGTGCACTGAGGAGGCTTCGCAATGCTGAGGTCCAATCTGCACTGCAGGGGGTGAGGGCTGGGGGAGGGAGGGAAGATCTGATTTGTGTGATTGTGAGCATGGCCTTAGTAAGCAGTTTCTTCTATGCTCCATCAAATCTACAAATCAATTGACCTTGGCCAGGGGCAGGGGTGGGGACAGGTATCCAGGCGCACACCTTCTCCTCTAGAAAATCCTCTTGGTTTTTCCGGGGCCCTACACCGTTCTCATTGTCAAGTTGCGCCTGCCTGTTCCCCATCCTGTTTATCCCTGTCTCCTCCCTCTTCCTCTCCTCCCTCCTCCCGCCTCCCCCTCATTCTCCTTCTCCTGCT